TTGACATGACGAGTAAGTCAATGTGTTCAGAAGAAGATTTTCAGTGAGAAGATAATTGAAAAGAGACTTTTTAGTAGATAGGATAGGTTTAAGTGACTTTCTGAATGTAGAGAAAAAGTCTCACATTCTATACACAATGTAAACCTAATCATGTTTTCTTTTGTGCATTTTAGAGAAGAATTTTAATCCTTTGGATCCCAGCTTTTTTCTGTGAAAATGTAGATTCTTATACGAAACCGTTTCAATATGGTGTTCATTAAATTTTTGAAAGACATTGTATTTCTGTATCAATCAGGCATTAATCGTTCATTTTCGTATGATAGTCTTCAAAACAATCAACAATACATAGACGTACATTACTGTCAAGACACATTTATTCTGCCATGTCGAAAATGATGAGATGTGCAGACAACGAATTTTCTTTGAGATTGTTTATAGAGAGGAGCGAAAGAAAATATTGAATAGTTAGACGAAGAGGAAAGTTCTTATCAAAGATCTTCCAATAGTTGTAAATCTATGTGATCCGTACTTTGTGGTTTATAATACTCATCTGTGAAACAATGAAAGAAAGTGTCTGATGACTATAGCGACTATGGATTCCTAGGATGATTTCTCGATCGGAGTCCATGATCTAACAGATAAAACACGTTTCAAAATTATTAAAGAATAAGCTGATGACATTTTTCTTCAACACCACCATCCATATGTATTTATGTGTGGTTCATATTCTAAGCTAAATTGTGAGACGTATATATACGTTGCCGGGACTCAAAGAGTTAATTTAAAAACAAAACAAAACTCTTATGTCGCTGTACAATTCGTATTCAATAGTCCCAAGAAATGAGTTAATACATATGAATCTAACAAATTGAACCCAATTAAATTGCATAGTTAAGTGTTGATTACATATCGATGCATCAACCCGAAATCTGAATATGGAACACACAGAAAACTACTTTTTGCCTCTCAATATCAGAATCACCTTTGAATAATTTAATTTTGTAGATTAATACTATTAGTGTAAGGTCTCCAAACCTAGACACACATCTCTTTAGAGTAAATAGATCTCGATGAGTAGAGGAAATTTGTCTTATTCTCAAAATGACCACATGTTCGTTTCTAAGAAAGCATGGAATCACAAATACTATTCATAGAAATTATCTCTCTAATCCCTATGCTACGTCTCATAGAAGTGAAATGCTTATTTTTTGTATTTACTAGATCTTTTCTGAGGACTGTAATGTCTGTAAATTTTCTTTCATTCTAGTACACAATGTCAGAGAGATGAGGGTGACTTTTCACTTTTTTTTATATAAAAACTAATTTCGAGAAAAACGAAAGAAAACAAAATTTAGTATGTGTATCAATTTTTTCCTCCAGTTAAACAGATTGAAAAATGGTTGCGCTCAGTAGTTTTACGGATCATGGTGCATGTTCCGAACACATTTTGATTTTTTATTTCTCGAAAACAGCTAAGAAACTGGTTGAACTTGAAATTTTCATGAAAAATTGCTTTAGAAAGCTCATAATAATTTTTCTTAGATGCAACTAAGTATTGCGTACGAGCGGTTATAAAATTCTGTTCATGTTCATTCGTTTCATAAAATACGAATGAAAATCGATTTTTCTTTTCTATATTAAGATCAACAAGTATTATTAACAATGCAAGATGCTCTAATGAATAGTACAGAACTATTTTTAAAAGAAATATTATCCAGTCTAAGAATTGATCCATCCATAGCTGATCCACCAGTTATAATAGAAAATCCTGTTTATGGAAGTCTTACTCCTAAATTTATAAATTTTGCTGCACCAGGAATGATGGTACCAATAATATTCTTTTTGGCAACTGGTTTAACAGGATTAATATTTGTTGTTGAGGAAAAAGAAGGTCTTTTAGAACGTAGTTGGATTGCCGGTGTTACAACAATTGAAGTTATATGTGCACATATAATTGTTAAATTTTTCATACAAAGTATTCAAATAATATTATTACTTACTTTTACTGACTACATATTTAAAGTTCGTTGTCGCTTTTTATAGTTTTTATTTTTTTTATTT